AAGACCTGCACCAGGCTGGCAACTCCAGGCAGGCTCGAGCATGGGGCCAGGGCGGGACAGGACATCTGAGGAATTTGAGGCCAAAATGCCATCAGCAGCCACAGCAGCAAAGCAGCTGGGAAGACACAGAACATGGGAAATGTTTCCCTTTCAAACAGAGAAGCTGGTAGGCAAAGTCTCTGAAGGTGTGAGGCAATGCTGGCTCTTGAATTCTGTCATCGTTTGGTCTCGGTTCTCCCTTGAGCACTTGACTCTCATGGCAGCAATTTGTCCCTCTCTGGTAGAGCTAATGGACTACAGAGGCTTCATCTGGAGGCTAATGGCTCTCACACGGCCAATACAAGAGAACCACGCTCAGCTGCAGTGGGGATTTATGGAGCGATATTCCTGAGTAATTGTACAGCTTATTTCAAGCCATCTCTGCTAAGCGAATCCCTACACACAGTGCCTCACCTTCCTTGATAGAAAACAGCCACTGATTTAACCAGCACTAAATTAAAATTTGGCATGAGGATCAGCTTGACAAACCTGACACACTTGCTGAAGGGGATGCCTTGGGAGGGGAGATGGAAGGGGCTTTTTGGCTCACTGATGGGAGGGCAGGAGGGAGACACTAGAGATTTCCATTCTTGCTTGATAAGTGTCCCTTCGAGGAGCAGAGCAGCCTGGAGACCTCACCAGAGCTCAGAAAACCTGTGTTTTCTTCTTAGGTCCATCACATGGCTTTAGGAAAAGTGATCTGTTAGCTCTTTCCCAGCCTCAAAGTGCCTGCCTCGTCTTGGAGACCAGCTCTGGGACCTTCATGGCTTGGGATGCAGGTAATGGTTGGCAGGCCGTGAGCTGGGGTCACAGCATCCTTCTCTGGACTCGGCCGGGACGAGGGCTTGTCCGTGACCGCTCTCTTGTGTGTATACACTTGAAGAGACACCTATGTCCTTCCCATCAGCCAGCTGGGGACACCAGCTCAGAGCTCTGACAGGAAGCCCAGATGGTGGTGGAGCATCCCAGCCCCACCCATGGTCTGGTCTCTCACCCCCATCAGCGTTTGAGTTCAAACTTCCAGCTGTTCTCCAGGCTTTCCAGGGCAATGTGTGTCTGGAACAACCTGGTTCCCTCCACCTACCTACAGAATGAGCCCAGAACTGCCAGACGAGAGGCAGGAAACTGCTACTCATCTAATTTGATTTTAGTTTACTTCTTTTTTATTTTTTGGGCTCTCTGAAATGTGTTCAGTCTGTATTGGGGTTACAACCTGGGTAATGCCTCCCTGCCTAAAAAAAAAAGGCTGTTACCATAACAACCTGACTCTGCGCTTCATTACCATGGCAATTCTCAGGAATTATTAAATACTGTGTACGTTTGGTGCACGCGCTCCTGTACATCTGGTGCCAGGCTGAGGTTGGGATCCTCTCTCCCCCCTAATCTGTCTGGCTCATCTCGTTTAACTCCTTCATTGCCCTCAGCCAAGACTGCCAGGGCAGGGAGAAAGAGGTGGGTGTCATTTGGAACTCGGTTTAGGCTTTTCCCCACTGCAGGCAGGACAGCATGACCAGGGTTTTCTCAGGTGGGTCAAGCCACTTCTTTATTTCTCTGATTGTAAAAATCAGCAGTTACAGAAGTAGACGATTCCTCTTTGCAGGCTGCTCAGCAGGGGGAAATGTTCTCACACTTCCCTTTCTCTGATCTCTCCCTGCTACCTGTCTAGAAATACGAAATTCCAGCTGGAATAGAATCGCAGCAAGTGGGGTCCAGCCCAGAGACAAGGAGCTGTTCCTGAGGGAGAGCTGTGACTGTCCAGTGTGAGTTGCTCTCGATGGGGAGGAGGGGTCAAGAAGCGGTTCCCCATTAGTAGAATAACTTGACTGACCATGTATGGCCTAAAATTGTGATCGTTTTCAGAGAAGGGATGTGGTGTAGATGGACCAACAGCTCAGACCGATGTGTCGTTCTCTCCCTTGTCTCTCCACTGTACTTTGTAGCTAATAGTGATTTTCAGTCATACTTGCACAGCTCCTGGCTGTCCAGTGATGTTCTGGAAGCTAACATCCCACAAGCAACAATTATAAAAAAATAAATCAAAATAACACTAAACCATCCTTGTCAAAAAAAAAAGAAAGCTTAAGTTATCTTGGGAGCCAATACTCACTTGTGATCTTAAGCTAAATAAATAGGCATGAGATGAAAAAACACACATGCTTGTGAGGAAAGGCAGCAGAAAGAGCCATTATGGTCTGATTCCCTTATGCAAGCTCTGGAGTAACCACCTCACCTTCTGGCTGCAGGACTCGTGCCGCTGAGGCAGGGCAGCTGGGTCTTCAAGGTCTGAGATGGCAGCTCTCCTCCTGACATCTGGGGAGCATCTTGGTGCCCTCAGCACCCTCCCTTCCACCAGGCATGACCTGCACTGGCATCGGCTCTGTGCCAACAGGATGGGGAAGGAATCAGGCAGTTAAAACAACAATTTTGGAGGTCTTTAGACACCAAATCTCTAACCCAAGGAGTTCTCTCACCATGCCAGACCTCTTGTTTTCCTCCTGGTCTCCACTTGCTGTCTCAGTGCTGTCATCAATCCTTCAGAGATCTTCTTTTCCCCAAATAATTCCTTCTCTCAGTAGGGTCACCCAACCTTTTACTGGGAATCTAATGGGATGGGGACTCATGTGCAAGTGTCTTAAACCCCCTGCAAACAAGGCAGAAGCCCAGTAACCCCTCGGGGACATACGTATGTACATACGGCAAGTGTGGATGGTGCCCACCAACTGCTTCACCCTGCAGACCCTCTTCTGTTGGTCCACAAGACTTGGTAACATTGACATAACCCTTGCGGCCAGGAAAGAGGCACAGCACCACAACTAGAGGATGAATAAGCCAATGGAAAGTTGGGCTCTTGTCCCAAGGGGCCGCGTGGAAATTCTTACCTCTCCTAACTGATTCCTGAGCAAGCTCCATCTGCTTCAGCAGGTGCCCAGCTCTGCTTTCTTGGGCATTACAGTGCTCCTCCACTTTAATATATACATGACCCTACTGTGGTTGATTTTTCTTCTTTCCTCTGCAAGACTCCACAGCATAAAAGGGAGCCCCACTCCTGGAAGTGGCTTTTAGGGACATTGGGCAAGTTGGGGCTCTGTGGGATTGTGGAGCTATGTTTCCCCACCGCGCAGCAGGACCCCTCAACACACACACCAGCTCTCCTGGCCCCTGGCAGAGCAAGGCAAATGGGGACAGCTGAGATAATTTGACCAGCTTCTTCACTCAGGGCATTGCTGCAGGTCAGAATTAAGGTGATTTTGAGATTCTCTTCAGCTTAGCAGCTTTTCCTGTACCTTGCTCGCATTGCTAACACCGGAAGGCTTCTTCTATCATCTCTGAATTCTCCCTTGTGCTGGGGCCATGGTGGGTGGATGGATGAGCAAGAGGGGCCAAATGTCAGCTTAAAGCAGAAGCTGGCTGGGAGTTCAGTGAGTATATCTGCCCGCTGATAGCAAAGCGACCTGAAGATGCAGCTACAGGTGATTGGGGTTATCTGCATCTCGCCCTGATGTCACTCCCACAGTGGGAACAGTTTGCATCCATATGCAAAGAAATCAATGGCCTTAACACCCCCTTCAGCAGCAGGGGCGAAAATCCCCTTCCATGCCGCTGCGCGAAGGGCAGCAAACCCTCCGTGCCAGAATGGTTGCTCAGGTGTGCAGAGCTGCAAGCTGCTCATAAAAATCAGAGCCCTGCCTGTTCGGTCATTTCACTGGCACCGACAGGACACTTCAGAACTCTGAAGCCCAAATTCTGGTCCTGCTGCCACGTTGTCTTTGTAAGGCTCTTAAAGCATTACAGACAACAGGTTAGTGGGAGCAACCTGAGCTAGTCCCGCTCTGCGTCGGCTTTAGTCCACCAGTACCCCGTGGAAACTTTGAAAAAGCTGTTCAGCAAATAGTGATTAATTACAAAACGTACTCTGATCTGTTCCTCCTGCTGGGAAAGGCAGAGAGCTGCTCTTCTGGGTTTACATCCGAGTAGATCAAATCATCAGCTCCGCCGGTACCCAGGACTGCTTTCCCACTACAGAAGTGGACCCAGCAGGAGTATTGTTGGTGCAACAAAACACAAATTATTTCCATCTCACACCCACAGACAGAGCTGTAATTCCATCACAGAACAAAGGTCAGGAGTCCTCGTCCTCTCACGTAATTTAGTTTCGACACCTCATTGGGCTCAGAGAAGCTGGAGATTTTAACTCAGAGGCTGAAATCTTGCTTTGCAAGAGGTGCTCGGTTCATCTTTATGAATCTCTGCTTCAGTACCGTGCAGATATTTAACACAAGCCTGAAAAAATGTTGTTCCTGACAAATTTATTTGCTAGTGGTTACTAATACTTGCCTGAAAAAAACGTATGCTAGTTCCTGCTTTAAAGAAATATCTCTAATGAGAGATTGATTGAAAGATAAGATGATTATATCTGGAACTAGGATTGAAATACCTGAACACACAGAGAAATAAAATGAAGACAACACAAAATTCTTTTGAAACAGGTTCTTTTTTTTCCTGAATGCTCACCAGTTCTCAAAAAAACTACAAAAATCTCAAGGACTGTAACAATATAGCACTTGAAAAAAAGGCTGTGGTGTACAAAAACAAGCATGCTTTTTTGGAGGGGTTGGAGTGGGGGTTTTTATATTTATCTGGGCTCTTTTCTTCCCTCAGCATAGCGTGAAAGAAGAAAGCACCCGTTTATTTAACAGGATAGCTCAGAAAAATAAGGAAGAACATGCTTTCCCCGTTACAAAACTCCACCACAAGATGCATGCTGGAGGTCCGAAATACAAACAGAGTGACACATTTTGTAGCACGGAGAATTTGTTGTACAACCCACACAGCACCTCCCTTCCCCTACCCCATGGTCAAAAATGTGGTCCGTGCCATGCATTTTGCTTTCCCTTTAGTTTGTTTTTCTTTTTGTAGTGAGTTATATTTGCCTTTTCTTTTTTTTTTTTGCCTTTTTTTTTTATCCCTAAATTCCAGGTAGCGGTTTCCAAGGTAACAGCAGAAAAGAGTCCAGATCTGCACATTATCGCTGTTTCTGCAAGTTTCATGCAAAACTTAAGCTATTTCTGCATGCAACACGATGCTGGTCGTTTATTGTGCTTCATATAACTCTGGGGAGATTTCCCCACTCACCACGACAGAGTTTGCTGACTGGGAAGCACAGGTTTTCTTTCCCATGGACGTAGACATATTAAAAGACCCTTTTCCCCTTCCCACTCCCCCCCAGTTGCCCCAGACACATGAGACTGTGCATCTCAGCACCAGGTCCAGACAGTTCACTTGCCTACAAAAGCCCGGCGGCTTCAGTAAAGTCCCATGATTGCAGCTCCCACATCCTTGGAAGGTCTTCGGTCCTTCACCAGAAAGTTAATCATGCTCTCCGACTTGATGAGCAAGTTGCAGCCCAAAAAGAAGATGCCAAAGATCACAGTCAAGGAGAGGACACAGAGGACGGCGATCTGCACCACCCGTGTGATGTAAAGGCTCCTCTCGTCAGGCGCCAGGACCCAGGAGCCGCCGTCAGTCGCCAGGACCGAGCTGGTCCCGTTGCAGCAGGCCATGAGCGTCCCCAAGCCCTGGGTCCTGTTGGAGTAAGCTCCCTGCTCTAAGAGAGTCTGGTTGAAAAAGGATCTATTCATGGTCTCCGAACAATCCCAAATCTCCGGGGAAAGCGAGAGGAAAGCTTGCTGCCCACCCCTCACATGCCAGGGCTCAGCACTGCGGGCTGGTGGGCTGCGAGCCACCTCCTGCCTTTCTTCTCACAACGCCTTGGATGGGGAGGAAACTTCCTCGAGGCTGCGAGCAGGTGGGAAGTCAATTTGTGCAGCCGAGGGATGGCTGGCTCCCGGGTCCCTCCTGGTACAGGCAGCGATAGCACAAACCCCCAAACCAGCAGAAAGTGAGAGAGAAAAGGCAAAGGGGACACGGGGAGAGGAAGGCAGAGATCACCCCATGCCTCCTGCCCTTGCAACAAGAGAGGGGCAGCCCGTTCCCCCCCAGGGGCTCTCCAACAGGAGGGAGAGCTGATTCCTGCCGGCTGGGAGCTCCACAAATGCAAGTTCCAAGCTAAGTCTTCACCGTGTTCAAGGGAAAAAAA